TATAATTTTTATGGAATACAACAAATAATACTTTATTAATGTGATCTCTTGATTGATCATCGTTTTCTGGCTCACTTATCTACAAATTCATTTATTAGGTCATCAAAGTTTATACTTTTAGCAATTTCATTTTCAATCAATATAAATTGAGGGCGACATCAGTCACTCTGGCAAGTGCAAGACTGCACGGAACTTTGATAATGTTTAATTTGGAAAAGGCTCTTGCTGCTGACGCACTGCGCTAGAGCTGTTAAGAGTGTTTTTATAGCCATGACAACATTGTGATAAATTTCTAATAGATTCTTTATAATACTTTGAAATTAAAAATTTTTAGTATATCTGGAACTGATGATTCTCACGAAACAATTTTTAAAAAAAATTTAACTGTAAAAATCAGTTTCATGTAAGTCTGAATTTAATTTTCAATGTAAATTTATACAATGGCATTTAAATATTTTCTCTGACATTTCCTGTAACTTGTGGAGGTCACGGAAGAAATTGAAAGTGGCTTCATGATTTATATGTAATCAAAATGCCCATTTATGCATTCTATTACTGTATCTTCAATCACAAGGAAAAATCAATTTAAAAAATTGTCTTCGTTGTTAATAATTGGTTCATCTGAAGCTTCCGATGAAAATAGTGTTCTTTTCACTTGAATTTGACGAGCTTTAAATTTAATTTCTATTTCGAAGCCTGTGGGTATTTGTCAAGCGATGTTGCTGTGGTTTTCAAAACCCACGATTCTTAACTGGGAAAAGCTCTACCAACTCGCCGATAGGCTTTGTGGGGACATCCACGTGTGTGTTTGATTTTTCATAATTTACTGACGAAGTTTACTGTCTGGGCTCCACCAGTGTCTGCCCAGGTGCTCAGGCTGGGGAGTTAAAAATGGTGCAGCACGGCCGGTGTGGCTCAGTGGTTGAGCATCATCAGGAGGTCCCGGTTCGATTCCGGTCAGGGCACAGGCCCGGGTTGTGGGCTCCATCCCCAGTGTGGGGTGTGCAGGAGGCAGCCAGTCCATGATTCTCTCTCATCATGGATGTTTCTCTGTCTCCCTCTCCCTTCCTCTCTGACATCAATAAAGATATATTAAAGCCTTAGCCGGTGTAGCTCAGTGAATAGAACGTTGGCCTGCGGACCGAAGGGTCTCAGGTTTGATTCCAGTCAAGGGCACGTACCTCGGTTGCAGGCTCCTCCCTGGCTCCAGCCCTGGTTGGGGCGTGTGCAGGAGGCAACCCATCGATGTGTCTCTCTCACATGGATGTGTCTCTCTCACATGGATGTGTCTCTCTGTCTTTCCCTCTCCCTTCCACTCTCCCTAAGAATCAGTGGGTGCGGATGCTGCAGGGGTGGGGTGCAGGCATAGAGGGGCCTCCCTCCTCCGCGGGGCCTGCTGCTTCTGTCATCGGCACCCCAATCTGGGCTCTGGGCTGTGCCTGCCGCCGGCTGGGGGTGTGCCTGCTGGGGCGCCAGGGAACCGCTTGTGCTGTGCTGTCTGGGGAGCCCGAGTTGTCACCCGAGGTATCTGTGCTGTCACACACATGCGCCATTGTCCCACCTGATGCCACGTATGAAACAGAGGTTCAAGATCAAATGATGAGGCCTGACCGGAAGGAGACAGCAGAGCATGAAAGCAAGATGGGGCCTTCCGCGAGCCGGCCATGCGCCGCCGGGGCCAGCGGCCTTCGGGGCTGCGTTCCCCGCACAGCAGAGGGGCCCCGGGCACGGGCACGGGTGTAGGTGCCACTGGTTAGTTGGGGGCGGGGAAGTGAGAAAGGGAAGTGGAGACAGCCAGCTCAGGCTGCTGGTGGGGGGAGGACCCCGTGGACACGTGGGGTGCGACGCTGCCCCCGCGGCCTCAGAGGGGCTAGTGGAAGACACTGGCATCATCCTTCTGCTGACAGGCCCGGAAGTTGGGGTGTTTAGCTTTCTTTTTTAAAAACATAAAAATATACATATATGTTTATATTTTTAAAAATCTATCAACAAATATATGTATATATGTATTGTATATATATGTGTATATACATATATATTGATGTCAGAGAGGAAGGGAGAGGGACAGGGAGAGATAGAAACATCAGTGAGGAGAGAGAAGCATGGATCAGCTATCTCCTGCATGACCCCTACTGGGGATCGAGCCCGCAACCTGGGAATTGAACTGTGACCACACACACCTCACACACACACACTCACACTCACACATATTCACTCACACACACCTCACACATACACACACATGCACACTCACACACACTCATACTCAACACACAAACACACTCACACATACACTCGCACTCACACACACTCACACACACCCGCACATACACATACACTCACACATGCACACTCACACACACACTCAGCACACACACACTCATACTCAACACACACACACACACACTTGCATTCACACACCTCACACACGCACACTCAACACACTCACACTCACACACACATTCACACACACTCACACTCATGCACACACTCCCTCGAACTGCGTGGGCCTTCCTTCCTCCTTCACGCTGTAATTAGCGCTAATTTTCTCCTTGCATTAGTATTGCAAGTGCATCCAACGCCTTTATTTCCTTCCTGTATTTATTCTGGTGAGAAGGCACTTAGGAGCACATTACTCCCGCTCCCATCTATCTCTCCACCTGTATGTGCATGGTTACGGGTGCCTGTCCCCGCGCTATCTGGGATTCCGACAGCCCCATTAGGTCAAATTCATGACCTGCAGCGGCCACTCCCCAGCCCGCGCAGAAGGCGCCCGGAGCACAGGGGCTCAGCCGGGAGCCCGCCAACCCATCCTCTTGTTTCCGACTCAGGGGAAGGAGGTCCTGGCCAGGAGCCGCGCCCCTCCTGGAGGGAGCTCCGTGGAGGTCTGCAAGCTCATCTGGAAGATCTCTCCGAGGGTGGGAGTCAACATGTGGTCATTTACCATTTGAAATGATTTCAGTTCCATTGTGCTCCAAATGTCAGACTGAGCCCATTTTTCAGCAACGCGGCTTCGCGCTCCGAGCAGTTTCCATGGGAGATTCTGGATATTCACTCCTTTCTCACCCTGCAGTTCCCGGGGATGCCGCGCTCCAGCCGCGCGAAGCGGCTCCGTGTGCCCAGGCCCGTGTGGCTGCTCCAGGGCCCCGGCTCTCCCGCGTGGCCTGGGCAGGGCATGGGGCCTCTGGCCCTCACTGCTGGTCACAGCCTCTCTCTGTGCCCGCAGGCCTCCCTCTGAGTTCAGGGCCTTGTAACCCAAGGAACAGGCAGAAAGTCGGTGGTCATGGTCATACCCTCCACCCCCACCCACCACCAGTGACAGGGCAGAAACAGAGCCCTGGGGACCAGCTAGAGTTGTAAGAAATACGAGTCATGCTCTGTTGACCGTGACTGGCTGTTCTGGTGAAAGAGGGCGCAAGCTCACCTGGCTGGGAGGGGCACCTGGGCCCTGGGAGCACCTGGAAATGCAGCCCATCCTCCCACCGGGAGCTGCCTGTGGTCATGGAAACATTAGCAAGCTGGTTGCAGAAGCCAGAATGGGAGGCTGTATGGCAATGGCTTATGGTCAGAGGGTTTTAAGGAGTGACGGGTACTGGGGAGCGGTGTGAGCATTGATTGATGGACCTTGGAAACCGACCATTCATGGCGAAGGGCTTCAGGCTTCGGCACCGGGGACCCTGGAAACAGACACTTCGCGCAGGCCCAGGTAGGAGAAGCCAAATGCCGTCCCGGGAGAGGAAAAGCGGGTGGAAACCCTTGCCTTTTAAATGACAGGATGTTACTGACATGCTAATGATGACAGGCTAATGTTGGGGCGTTGCAATCATTTTCCTCTCACCTTTCGCAGCTCTCAGGCTGGTCTAAACACGGTGACGTGTACCTCCTGTGTACACGGGAGAGACTCGGGAACACCAAGCCACTTGCCAAAATGATGGAAGTCATCGCCCTAAATGCCACTTTCAGCTGAAGACAAAAGGCGGGGGCGGGGGTGGGGGTGGGGGGTGGGGAGGCAGGTTCAGGAGACCAGGAAAGGACAGTCCCTCTGGCAGCTGGGACTCAGGCTTCTGGAAGGTTGTTGGGAAGGACATCCGGAAGGCCGTCTGGTCTAATTAGCATATTATTAGCTTTTATTATTATAGGTATTATTATAGATTCTCTTAGAGTTCATGTGTGTGTGTGTGAATCCTCACTGGAGGATATTTCTCCATTGATTTTTAGAGAGAGTGGAAGGGAGAGGGAGAGACACAGAGAGAGAAACATCAATGTGAGAGACACATCGATTGGCTGCCTCTGCACAGGGATCCAGCCTGCACCCAGGTACATGCCCTTGATCAGAATCGAACCCAGGACCCTTCCATCCACAGACTGAGGCTCTCTCCACTGAGCCACACCGGGTGGGGCTGGTATGCAGTCCTGAGTCCCAGCCTTGCTCGCTGACGGTGCAGGCAGGCCTGGCCCAGCGAGGGAGACAGCCTTCAGACGTCAGTGTCCTGGGTCTGCTGCTTCTCCGTTCCTGGAATAACGCCTCACACAGGCCCTGTTCGGAGCCGCAAACTGCTCCCCTTCAGTCTCGTCCAACTTTCATCTCTGCGAATACGTGTGTAAACGTATTTATTTAAACAAAATGAGGATATGCCGTGTGAACTAATCCACAAACTGCTTCCTTCACTAACAATGGCTCCAGAGTGTTTTCCTAAGTAAAAATAATCTACGTTGTTTTTAAAAATATATCTTTATTGATCTCAGAGAGGAAGGGAGAGAGAGGGGGAGAGATAGAAACACCCATGAAGAGAGAATCATGGATCGGCTGCCTCCTGCATGCCCCCCACTGGGGCTTGAGCCCGCAACCCGCCACCCGCCATGTGCCCTCAACAGGAATCGAACCCAGGACTAACAGGTTCATGGACAACGCTTAGCCACTGAGCCACCCAGCCAGTCTATGCTGAGTTTTGTTTACCAAAGGCAAGGATGGCGTTGCATTGGACTTTGTATTCCAACAGATGGAGCACAGGGACTGGTTCATAGTCGCTGCTCCAGGAATCAGCAGCGTGGACTTGACCGCTGGCCCCTGTCCGGCCTCCTGTGGTGCACACGGTGGCGGCAGCAGGAAGCTACGCCCTGACTCTCCTCACCTGACCGCCGAGGAAACTGATGCTCAGAGAGGGCCAGTCACCTGTCCAAGGCCCACAGCCATGAATGTAGGACCAGGACGTCCACCTGGTGGTGACCAATCTCACGCCTGTATCCTCAATCGCATCTGAATTCCCTGTTGAATGACCGCTCCGTTTCTAGAGGCTTCTGGCTGCATCGCTCCAACCTCCAATTCTGTGGCCACGTGACCTCCTATTCCGCCCTCCCGACTGCCTCATAGAAGGACCTTGGAGATGACATCAGGCTCGCTTAGATCTGCCCAGACCATCTTGCCCTCTCACGGTCCTTAACAGCACCTCACCCGCAAGGTCCCTTTTGGCATCCGAGGTACCACTGGCGAGTTCTGAGAATTAGGAGGGGCCGCCATCTGGTCTACTACAGCCACTGCCTCTCCTGAAAGTGCTAACGGGATGGATGAGCGAAGGCATGCGGGGGGTGAGCGTGTGCCCTTAGCTTGGGTGCTCCCACCAGTAGGTAAGGACGTGGCGCAGGTGGAACTGCAGGGCAGTGGGGGAGTGAGACAGGAAGGGCAAAGTGAATGAAGGTGTGTAAGTGAGCTGGTTGCTCCCGTGGGAAACGGGCTGGATCCCACTGGGGACCCTCTTAGGAACTGTTTTGAATGCGTTTCAGAGTCACCCCACCGAAGGCAGCAACAAAGTACCATGAACTGGGCGGCTTACAGCAACTGGACGGATCGCCTCCCGAGTCTGGGGGCTGGAAGCTCGGCATCCAGGTGTGTGCAGGGTGGGTTCCTCCCAGAGACTGTGAGGGAGCATCCATCCCAGGCCTCCCCCAGCCTCGGCTGTCTGTCGGCAATCCTTGCTGTTCTTTGGCTTGTAGACACATCATTCCAATCTGTGCCTCTGTCTTCATGTCAACTCTGTGTGTGTTCTCCTTTTTTCTTTTTCTTTTTTTTAAAAAAATACATTTGCATTGATGTCAGAGAGGAAGGGAGCGGATGAGAGAGAGAGAGAGAAGCATCAATAATGAGAGAATCATGGATCGGCTGCCTCCTGCAGGCCCCTCACTGGGGATGGAGCCCACCACCCGGGCATGTGCCCTGACTGGGAATTGATCCTCGACCTCCTGGTTCCTAGGTCGATGCTCAACCACTGAGCCACATGGGCCCGGCTCCTTTTCTCTTCTAAGGACACTTGTCATTGCATTTAGGGTCCACTTGGATAATCCAGGAGGATCTCACCTCAAGAGTGTTAACGTGATCCTGTCTAGAAAGACCATTATTCCAAACTAGAGGCCCAGTGCACAAAATTCATGCATGGGTAGGGTCCCTAGGCCTGGCCAGTGATCAGGGTTGATCTGTGGGGCGACCAGCGGGGAGATCGGGGGACCACTGCTGGCACCCGCCTTGGCTGGCCTGGGGCCTGTGGGCTGGGGGCAACTCCTGTGTTGAGCATCTGCCCCCTGGTGGTCAGTGCACATCATAGCAACCAGTTGTTCTGTTGGTGGTTCCGCCGCTCAGTCAATTTGCATATTAGGCTTTTATTATATAGGATAAGGTCCCATTCATAGGTTCTGGGTGGACATAGCTTTTTGGGGTCACCATGCAACCCATGACAGATGTGAAGCTGAAGTACTTTTCCACAGACTCTTGTCCCTGATTGGCTACAGTGGCCCCTGGTGCTGTCAAATCCCCAGATGTTGCCTGGCCGGCATGGCTCAGTGGTTGAACATCGATCTCTGAACCAGGAGGTCAGGGTTCGATTCTGGGTCAGGGCACAGGCCCAGGTTGTGGGCTCCATCCCCAGTGGGGGGCGTGCAGGAGGCAGCCGATCCATGAGTCTCATCATCAATGTCTCTCTCTCTCCCTCTCCCTTCCTCTCTGACATCAATAAAAATATATATATTTTAAAAGCCTAGCACCGAGCTGGCTCCTGTGCATCCCAGGAAGTCCTGGCAGAAGCTAGGGAGGCAGAGGCCTTTGCTCTATGGCAGGCCTGGCCCACCGGCTGCAGGTGAACCAGAGGCGGGTTCAGGGGGCGTGGCGGGAGGCAGCGGTCACGGTTGTGTAGACTCTTCCTTAGAGAGATGGATGACAGAGAGCGTTCCTGTGTCCCCACCCCCCCCTCCCCTTCGCCTGCGGTGCCCCGGCCTTGCCTCAGCCTCTGGAATAGATGAATCAGCAGGATCACCTCCCGCCTGCCAGAAAGTTCAGGCCGCGGGGTTCAGTCCCTCCCACACAGGCAGCCCTGGCTTTGGCTTCGAAGCGCAGCCTTTGATACGGCAGCCTTGGAGCAGGCCAGGCGGAAAGGGGGCGGGGTGGGCGGAGGGGGGAGAGGTAATTAGTTTGATGAATCTTCTTTTTAAGTCGTTCTCTACATGGGCCTCTCGCGGCGTTATAGGCTCAGTGATGCATTCCCTAAGTTTTATGAATCCTTAAACACGGGCCATTTTTCAAAGGAGAGAGGTGAGAGCAGTCATCTGGCGGCACCAGCCTGGGGTGTCCCCGTGGAGCAAGGACGCCTGGTCCTGGCCAGGGCTGTGCAGGGGGAGGCCAGGCTGGACTCTCCCCGCTGCCCGTCTCGCGGCCGGAGGTGCTGCGTGTTCAATGCCCACCCAGGCCCTCAACAAGCCTTTAAAAAAACCAGACATTTTTACTGATTTCAGAGAGGAGGGGAGAGTGAAAGAGAGAGATCGAAACATCCATGATGAGAGAGAATCATGGACCGGCTGCCTCCTGCACGGCCCCCACTGGGGATCAAGCCCACAACCTGGGCCTGTGCCCTGACCAGGAATCAAACCCTGACCTCTTGGTTCATAGGTCAGTGCTCAACCACTGAGCCACATGGGCTGGGCTGGGCACGCCTTTTGGCCATGGCCGCCTGGCGCTGGGATCTGGGGCTGGGAGGTGCGGCACAGCCTCCCCTGTATAAGCCTACTCACTAGGCTGGGTGGTGACAACTGCCATGCTGCCCTGGGAGTTGCAACTCACACATGTAAGGCCAGCTGAGGCTCAAGCAGTGCTTCAGCTGAAGTGGTTGCTCAGTGGTTACAGCATCAGCCCTTGGACCGAAGGGTCACGGTTTCGATTCCCAGTCAAGGGCATGGACCTCGGTTGCAGGTTTGATCCCCACCGTAGTCGGCGTGTGTGCGGGAGGCAGCCAGTCGACATGTCTCTCTCACATCGATGTTCCTCTCCCTCTCTCCTTCTCTCTCCCTCCCTCCCTCTCTTTCACTCTTTCTAAATATCAATGGAAAAAATATCCTCAGGTGAGGATTAAAATGATGAAATGAAGTGCTTCAATGGTGGGCTCTCCACTTGCTGTGGGGGAGGACGGCCGCCTGGGGTCTCTGTGATCACCTGACAGCCAGGCCTCAGAAGTGGCAGAAGCAGCTCTGGGGGGCTGGAGGGCGGGAGGTGAGGGGAGAAGGGAGGGCAGAGGCCTTCATGCCACCAGGCCGCCCCTTACACCTTTCCTGTGTGGGGGCGAATGTGTGCTTGTGTGCGTGTGAGCATGTGCTGCATATGTGTGAATGTGGGGGATTTGTGTGTTGCGTGCAGACATATTTGTGTTCTGCCTTCTCTGAGGTCATGCCACTTTCTCTGACCCTGTCCACAAGGGGAGGGCTGGGGGGGCTGGGGGGGCAATGGAATGGCCCTTCTTCTTTAAATATGTTTTTACTAGAGGCCCGGTGCATGGATTTGTGCACCAGTGGGGTCCCTCGGCCTGGCCTGTGCCCTCTCACAATCTCAGACCCCTCGGGGGATGTTGGAGAGCTGGCTTTGGCCCGATCCCCAAAGGCCAGGCTGAGGGACCCCACCGGTGCACGAATCTGTGCACCAGGCCTCCAGTATGCATATAAGATCTTTGGTTAATCTCTTCCCGCCTTCCCTCCTCCCCCCTTCCCTCTGAGATTCATCAGTCTGCTCCATGTTTCCATGCCTGTGGTTTCCACTCCTGCATTGAGCATCTGCCCCTGGTGGTCAGTGAGCGTCATAGCTACTGGCCAGTCGGCTGGTCAGTGGTTGGCTGATTGGCGGGTTGCTTAGGCTTTTATATATATAGGCTAGAAGCCCGTCGCACGAAGATTCGTGCAATAGGCCTTCTTTCCCCTGGCTGCTGACACTGGTTTTCCTCCGGCACCCAGGACCTAGGCCTTTGATCCGGCCACAGCGGAGAAGCCAAGCCTCTTCAGTTTTTAGTCTTCAGTCTTCAGTCTTCACTCCAGCCAGAGCCTTCAGTCTTCGCTCCGTGCCTGCATATGCAAATTAACCGCCATCTTTGTTGGGTTAATTTGCATAGTTGCTCTGATTGGCTGATGGGCATAGTGGAGTGACACCAATTTGCATGTTTCTCTTTTATTAGTGTAGATTGCTTTCAGAGGGAGGAAGGGGAGGGAGAGAGAGAGAAACATCCATGATAAGAGAGAATCATGGATCAGCTGCCTCCTGCACACCCCACACGGGATCGAGCCCACAACATGTGCCCTGTCTGGAATTGAACCATGACTTCCTGGTTCATAGGAAATGCCCAACCACTGAGCCACACTGGCCGGGCTCTCCTGCCCTTCTGCAAAGAGCGTGTTCCCTGCAGGCCGCAGCCCAGGGCGAGGCTGGCCGCTCTGCCCGGGAAGCTGGGGTTGGCGGGGGCTGCGCAAATCCCTGTGCTCGCCCCTCCCGGCCCTGTCTGATCACAGCCCCGCGTGTTTTGACTGAAATCTCTCCCTGCCTCCTGGGATTGATGTGAAGATTAATGCCTGTTTAGCAAATTACAGCCTCCCCGGCACCTCCCGCTCCTGGGAGTGGAGCCTTGGAAACGAAAAATAAAAACAAAGCTCGCAGCTCCATGTCAGGGCTTGGCCACAGCAGAGACGGCCGGGCCCCAGTCTGCGGACGGGGCTGCTTCGCAAGGCGAGGTGAGGCCCAGGCCTGCCAAGGAGGCGGCTGGGGGGACGCCAAGCCCAGCCTCGGGCTCGGGGTGCGGGAGAGCATGGGAGCGGGCCTCGTGGGAAGACGGCCAAGGGCAGCTGCGGCCGGGGCCTGGCTCGTCTACAGGCCCGACGGGGAGCGCAGCAAGGCTGTGCACATGGAGCAGCCTGTTTCTGCCGTTCTCCAGGGCAGTGGGCTGAGCCCATCCCTTTAAAAAAATGCTTTTATTGATTTTAGAGAGAGAGCGGAGGGAGAGGGAGATAGAAACATCAGTGATGAGAGAGAAGCATGGACCGGCTGCCTCCTGCACGCCCCCCACTGGGGATGGAGCCCGCAACCCAGGCCTGTGCCCTGATCGGGAATTGAACTGTGACCTCCTGGCTCATAGGTCGATGCCAAACCACTGAGCCACACTGGCCAGGCCCATCCCTCTCCTCCCTGGCAGGTCGCTCAGTGGTTAGAGCGCTGGCCCTCAGACTGAAACATCTCGAGTTGGATTCCTGGTGAAGGGCACGTTCAATCTCTGGCCCTGTCTGGGGTGCGAGGGGTAGGCAACTGCTCGTGTGTGTCTCTCACATTGAGGTCTCTCTCTCTCCCCCTCCCGTCCACCCTCTAAAAATCCATGGAAAAAGTATCCTGATTCCTCGGGGAGGATTACAGAACAAGAGAGAAGACCATGACCTCTCCTGCGTTTCCTCCAAATAAGCCGGTTCCAGTTCCGCTCAGATTTGGGTCCCCGAGGCCACTTCTGAGGGAGCCGACTAGGCCATGATGGGGGGAGGCTCGGGGAAGGTGGCTACAACTTCCAAAGAAAGAACAAGGTGTATGTTCCTGTCCATCAAAGTCTCCTTTAAAATCCCAAGCCCTCCGACTGCATCCTCTCTCCCCAGCGCAGCCTGGAGACTGTCTCTGCCCCCCCCCCCCCCCACACACACTGGGGATGGAGCCCGCAAGCCGGGCCTGTGC